CATTTGTGCTACAACTACACCAGTAATATAACTGCAGCATTTTGTTAAGGCACATGCCCCGGGCGCCTTTCAAAAAATCATCATCATGATCATTACAGCCCTTCACAAGTCCTCCGCTGAACATAGGCCTCCCCCAAGGAAGGCCTCAAAGCACAGTCCTGAGCCACCTGCATCTACCCACTTCCTACATTTTTTTTATAGGATTGGGTGACAAACGAGCACACAGTCCACCTGATGGTAAGTGGTTACTGTGACCCATAGACATCTACATCTATCCTCAATAAAGATGCAGATGCGTAGTCACCCGTAAGGACTAAGATGGAATGCCTCTTTGCCAGTAAAAAGGGTCTCCGGTTCTCTACACTCACTATACGAAACACAGCAGCGTTAAGCTGCTATTTTACGCTGGTTTGCTGTGAGAGCGCGGTCCTTCCCCGGTCGAGCCGACCCATTCGTGCCACAACTATACTACTAATATAGCTGCAGCATGGCTCTACCACGTAAAAAATGTCTTAATAGTCCATCTAGTGGGTGGCCGCCCTACACTTCGTCTAGCGGTACGAGTGCTGCCACTCGAGAACCTTTCGTCGCCATCGGTTTTCAGTACTTCGAGCTATATAGCCAGCCCATTTCCACTTCAGCCACTAATGCAATTAAAAAAAAATAGTAGTATGATTAGTTAAATACATTAGATGACTTGTAGATCGTTATAAAACCGGTCCCTCGTTGCCAATAACTGCTGTTAACTGCATCTAGTTAGTTATCGGAACGAACAATCAGAAATCTATGTGCTGTCAAATTTGGAATATTTTCACGGATTTGTGAATGTGTATATAGCTCACGTTGGTATCATCATCATCATTATAACCTATCCAAAGGCTATTGATGAATATTGTCCTTCTCTTTAGATTGTCTCGTAAGGGGATCTTTGGCACAGTTGCAGGCGAGTTTGCAATCGCAGCTTTTTATTACGCTATCGGGCGGACGTGATAATAATTTAGTATCTCCAAATTACTTTTTATATTTTTGTATTCGCGTGCATGTATATTATGTGTGAATATGTTTACAAATTCATACTAATCAATGAACTCTAAACTAATTTCATTCGGTGTTTAATTGCATAATGAATAGCAAATAAATATATCATTAAAAATTATATCTATAAAAATTATATATATAGAATAGAATAGAATGATTTTTTATTCAATATTGATTATTACATAATACTTATTGAAAGTCATTTTTTATTTACCACTGGTTCGAATAATTTAAAATTAAAAATTTTGTACAGCCGACTTCAATATAAGTTATTTAAGAATAACTTAAAAACTATTGGTCTGACCTTGATCAAATTCATATGGGACCACACGAGAAGTACCAGCTTTCAAATAAAAAAAGAATCATTGAAATCGGTTCACCCAGAAAAAAGTTCTGAGGTAACACACATAAAAAAAAACGAAAAAAAAAAACATACAGTCGAATTGAGTACCGGCTCCTTTTTGGAAGTCGGCAGAAAATACCTCTGTCCTGAGAAGAACCAGCAAGAAACCCAGCGGGACTTTTTTTAAATATATTTCACTTAACAATAAAGTTATTTATACAATTTTTAAATGAATTTTCATAGAACCAGCATGGTGGCGATCACCTCATTCCCAGGGGTTATTTTCATTCATGTATTCCTTAATATTATAATAACCCTTTTCGTACAAGTTTTCTTTAATAAAACTTTTAAACTTGTTTATTGACAAACTTTGAAGATGTTCTGGGATTTTGTTGTAAAAGAGTACCTATACATTGCTCCATAAATGAATTACTGAGTCTAGTAACTGCCATTACAAGCTTATGTTTGTTCCTAGTGTTTAAAGTACCTAGTCTTTATCCTTATCTAAGCTATTTATGTTTTTATGTACATACATTACCTCCATAAATATATTGCGATGCCAAAGTTGATATGTTTATTTCTTTAAATTTTTCTCTGAGGGACTCTTTACAATTTAGGTTATAAATCGCCCGTACGGACTAGGCTCTGAGTGAATTTTTTTTAAGTTGATAGTAACGACACACTAAATTACACCCACGCCTATATTTTTGTTCTTAAATTGACAAAACGTAAATACATACAATCACATTACACAGGTCAAAATATTAGCTAGTAACAATTTTGTTTTAGATAATTTCAGAATAATGAGAACACAAATAACTTAATACAAGACGTATTAAGTTATTTGTTTTCTCATTACATATTATTCTATATTACATGTACGTTATGTTATGTTATATAATAAAAGTACTCGTATATATGACAGAACAAAACCGGCAGATCTTCAATGCAAATTATATAGGTGTACCACATTAGTTAGCATCAGGTTTGAGAAGTTAGAGCTCGGTGTTACATAATTTTAAATTGACATGGAGACAAAATTTCTGTGTAAAATTCAATAAGAGTCAGTGATATAAATGTATTTGAAACATTGTTACATCATCATCATCATTACAGCCCTTCACAAGTCCACTGCTGAACATAGGCCTCCCCCAAAGAATGCCACAAAGCACGGTCCTTAGCCACCTGCATCCATCGACTTCCTGCATGTCTTACCAGGTCGTCACTCCATCTCGTGGGGGGACGCCCTACACTTCGTCTACCAGTACGAGGCCGCCACTCGAGAACCTTTCTTCCCCATCGGTTGTCGGTTCTTCGAGCTATATGGCCGGCCCACTGCCACTTCAGCTTACTAATCCGTTGGGCTATGTCGGTTACTCTGGTTCTACTGCGGATATCCTCATTCCTAAGTTTATCACACAGAGAAACTCCGAGCATAGCCCTCTCCATAGCTCGCTGAGCGACCTTGAACTTTCTCATTCGGCCAGCAGTGAAGGACCACGTCTCAGTTCCGTAAGTCATCACTGGCAACACGCACTGGTTGTACAATTTCGTTTTAAGGTTTTGAGGTATGTCTGTTGTTACAAAATGCGATAAAATTGCTCTAGACAAAACGGTCTAATTACGTTATAAACTCCATTTGCTTGCTCGTTAGCTTTAGCATTCGCTTAAATGTAATAGGACCGTTATTAGAAAACGTATGACTAGAGCAAATTGTGAACGAATGAAAGAAAAAAGAGAAAGAATATCATATGGTCCCTCGATATAGATAAGCCGCTTACCAAGATACTATTATTTGTAAAATAATTTTAAGGTTATGAATTATGTGATTCCAAGTTTAAAAGTCGACTCTACATGCGCTGCCGCAGGATTACTACAGCGTTTACTACTTTTACTTAACTATATTTTACGAGCAATATTTATTTATTTATTTTGGGTACTAAATTAAAATTGCTTAGACCTTCCTTCAAATTTTGAAATGGTTTACCTACACAAACGTAGGATTTACAATAAAGATTACCAACACTTAAAACTACTACGGATAATGTTGTAGTTAATCGTGTAATAGTTAGTGTAGTTTTTGTTTTTCAATATTAGTATTTCGTGCCATATCATTTAACGACACCAAAGAGAAACGCGGTTACATGCTAATTCATTCTTAAAGAAATATTAAACTTTCTTTAATCATTTGTAGTGTTACAGTTAAAATTCCTTTTTTTAAATTCATTTTTATCGCAAGAGATTGCTACCTCAAACTACGAACACGTATACAATTAAAATAAGGGGACCCAATAAAATCCCTGAGTGACTCCTTTAGTCACACATCAGTGAATTTAGAATCTAACATGTCAATCATTTTAATTGATGTTTCCTAACTCAAGCTATTGCTTAGTTGTGGTACACATACAAAATGTGAAACATATTTAAATTTTATTATAACTAAATATGCTGTTAAGGACGTATTGTATGTGTAGATTAGGTACCTATTATACAAACATAAAGACAACCTGCCTTCTTCTTAATGTATCTGTCGATTATTGAGCTCTACGTTGCTATAAATCAAATTTCAAGGCCGTAATAACCAAACAAGGGGTATAACAGTAGTTATACCGCTTGTTTGGTTATTAGTCACGGAGGATAATATTGAGCGTGTATAGAATTGAAAGTGTTGATCAAGTTATGATAAGAAAACCAAAATAATAATTTTTAAAGTCGCAGATGGAAGCACGGGCCAGAACAGAAACAATGTTTTCGTTAGTGATAGTAGAGATATCACATCATTGTATTGTATACAGCAAAACATCTCCATTATGCCAAATCCGGAATGAATGCCAGATAAAAGACCGCAAATAGAAAGGCGAAGGAATTCGATTAAATTATTTGTAAATAAGACATGGCTTTGTTCGCTTGCCATGCTTCATGAACTATTTACCGCGTTCTAGCTTATGCAAATCAACCGTTTACTTTGTTACTTAAATTATTTATGAACAATGAATTTTATTGTGTTGTTACTTTGCTCCATTTAATATTAATATTTCAGTAGGTACTTTAATTTTTTTTTTAATAAAACTGAAGTGACATACGAACTTACAGCCTGCCTATTGGTAAGTACCTACTGCAGCCCTTGGACACCTGCAAGCAACTTCAACCAAAGAAGTAGCCTTCTGCTTCTTCTGGATGGGTTGTCAACTGTAAGGACTAAGATGGTATGCCTCACAGCCTCAAATTATGCTGGCTCTTATATCCTTTAGACCGAAACACGGCAAAAATAAGTGAGAAGGTAGAATACCTGTCTAGACGGACTGCTAGCCAGACAAGAGTCCTACCACTCAGTAAATTGTGTTATCTTTGACACTAAGGACCAATGCAATAGGGAAACATAGTCATTGATTCCTTAAAAGATATCTTAAAAACAAATAACTTTCTAAATGCTCTTAGCTAACTGCTTGAATTGTAACGTACTATAATTAAATACGTAGCTCAATCGAACAAGAATATATATTATCTTATACTTGCACGTATAAAAAAATACTTCCTTATTCTTATCTCATACTCATTTATCAATAATTGTTACTATGTATTGTCCGTGTAGAAAATGTAAGGGAAATTTAAAGGCTACCTTGTCGAGGTACGGCCAAACGCCAGTGAGCACGATACTGAAGCCCAGGGACATCTGAAACATGGTGAAGTAGATCACGTAGACGCTGCGCCAGCGCTGTCGTCGCTCCAGCGGCGTCTCGAGGGCGTCCGCATCTTGTAACTCCCGGCCAGCCGTGTCCTCGCGCCCTTCTTGACTAAAGCATCTCTTCAACCACTCCATTTCGTTGCTTCGCTATCTGCACACTACACTTTTATTGGTATAAAAGCTAGTTTCGCCTAGCAACATTATAAAAATGATTCACATCACAAACAAAAATAAACAAAGAAGCGAACGCGGCAAGTTGCGTCGACACGTACTTCCACCGCGCTTCGCTTGGTCGGACTGATGACTGGACTGATATAAAGTACTCTGTGGGACTGATTGGGTGAAGGTGATTGGTATTTGGAGCTTGAGATTTCGCTGGCACGACTTCCCTCTCTATCTACGTCATGCATGACGACAACAATAGCAAATGATAGAGCCCCTGAAATAAATATACAGTTTCATAATCATAATGTTCTTGTCCTTGTCATATAAACACAAACAAACGTGTTTCTTTATACCCTAGAGCCAAAGGAATAAAATCACTACGTTTTACCCGTCGACGTCACTTGAAAGATCCACATTCGACATATATTTCCGACAAACTGTATATTCCTTTAATTTTTATGTATATAATTATATATTATATATTAATATTATAATTTTCCATGTCCAAACAGATCTGAGAAACCGTGTCTATTTTAACCGTCCCTATTTTTTTAACTGCAGGATATTTCTTTTTCCATATATGCAATACAAGCCATTACATTGAGTGAATATGAAAATACATGCATGCAATATATATTTTTATAGAATAAAGATGAAAAACGAACACACAGTCCACCTGATTGTAAGAGGATGCTGTGGCTCATAGACTTCTACGTTTATCTTCAATTAAGAATTAAAATGCAGATGCGTTGTTACCCCTGAGGAATAAGATGGAATGCCTCGTTTCAAGTAAAAACGGTCTCCGGTTCTCTATACTCACTATACGAAACACAGCATTATTAGGCTGTTATTTTAAGCTGGTATTCTATGAGAGCGTGGTCCTTCCCCGGTCCAGCCAACCCCTTCGTACTACAAGCATAATGTAGCTGCAGCTTGGCTCTATCACGTCAAAGTATGTAATCCCGAAAATAAAAGTATTTTTTTTAATGTTCCGTGGCAATATTAGTTAAACACATCACGTAAGGAATTAACTCGATGTCTTTCTGTTTATCCCTCAGAGACGTTTTTTATGCGATAAGGGTGACAAACGAGCACACAGTCCACCTGATAGTAAGTGATTTCTGTGGCCCATAGACATCTACATCTGTCCATCGATTACGAATGACAATGCAAATGCATTGTCACCAGTGAGAACTAATATGGAATGCCTCCTTTCCAGTAAAAAGGGTCTCCGGTTCTCTACACTCACCATACGAAACACAGCAGCGTTAAGCTGCTATTTTACGCTGGTGTTCTGTGAGAGCGTGGGCCTTCCCCGGTCGAGCCGACCCATTCGTGCTACAACTATACTACTAATATAGCTGCAGCATGGCTCTACCACGTAATTACACTCACTCTACACGTTTTTCTTAGAAACTCCTTATCTCCGAAAGTGCCTATCTGAAAATGTGAAATATAATTGATTGTATAGAAAGTAAGGTAGAAAATAATAGAAAGTAAGGATCGGATCAGTATTTGATTTATAATAAAATAATACTAGGCCTACTACGCCTGGGGCGTCCCCGTAGGGAGGGCATCGTATGACGATAACAAAAAAAGCAGCACTTACATTGGTGATTACTTCTACATTAACTGACCATCAAACAGTACTCCTGTGCTTAAATCAAAATGAAATTAAAAAAGTCATCTTTAAAACATACAAACAAATTAAATAATGAAGCATTACTTACTTTTGGTAAAAAATTATGTTTTATTATGGAAAAAATGCATGTTATTCGTCAATCAAAATCGAAATGAATCTCTCGCTATTACAAATGCTATAAATACTAAAAAAAACCTTGGGTACCATTTGCTAAAAAAACCCAAAGCTACCAAAATGTTAAATCCGGCGCTGGATCGGATGCTAAACGGAATTACTTAAATTAATTAAAAATATATTAAGACTAAAAATTCCCATTAGCGCGATCAATTATATTGCGAGCAATTTGAAACTTTAGGCAGAAAACTAAGACATGTATCAGGTACGTGTAGAAACTAGATACCCACAACACACACTGTTCGAGCGAAGATGTACTCGTACATAGAGCGAAGCGGCACGTTCTGCGAGCATGACAAGCACTAACGTATCAGATCCAGGTTCAGAATCTGATTGCGCCGAAGTTAACATTATACACGATTTAAGTTCCTGACGTTCTTGACTGGTTACCCACCTACTAATTAGTATTGTCCGCTATAGGGTGCAATGCCGGTCAAATGCCGCCTTATTAAAAGTCGATTATGTTGGACGATAAATGACAAGGTCCGTTCGTTCGAAGCTAATTTCTGCAAGATCCATCGAATAAGAAAGCAAAATCTCCGGCCATACTTATAGTCTCATAGGTGTTAGACGGGAAATGAAGCTGCAGTCTTCAGCAGTAATGACAGGATACACGCAACTGAACAGATAGATCTCCAAATATACCGATGCGCCGAGACTTATACAACTTCAATACAGCTTGTATTGAAGAAGTGATTACCTGAAGAGCGGGCTGAACCAAGGCTCTAAAGTCTTTGCCAGAGATCTGTCTACCGGACAGAGCTAAAGTTGCGATTTTGAGTGAGTTTGAGAGGTTCTATAGACATCTGTACTACTGGTACCACACGCAAGTGTGAATGACGATCCAAGAGCAAGTCTCATCCGACACTATACTATATAAATTCGTATATATGTATATATAAAAATATCTCAGACGTCAATCTGAGCGAGATTTGGCCATAAGAGCAATTTATGATTTAAAACCTAAAGAGTCGCTCCGACAAAAATTTAAGAAAATGAGTATATTATTAACTTTGGCCTCTCAATACATTTATGAAAATGTAATGTACTTACATAAAAATAAAAGTAGTTTTACAAAATAAGTGATATTCATTTTGTATATACTAGGAACAGACACGAGCTAGTAGTACCAGTTACTCGACTCCATCGAGTCAGTAATTCATTCATGGGGCGATGTATACGCTTTTACAACAAAATTCCAGAAAATGTACCAAATTTAACCTGCTCAAATTTCAAAAACTTTATTAAACTAAGTTTGTATAAAAAGGGTTATTATAATATTAAGGAATTTATGGATGATAATAAACCCTCGGAATGAGGTGATTGCTATCAAGCTATTTCTAATTTGTTTTGTGTGGTTAATTGTGATTACATGATTGTAAACTGTTATTTAGAAAAAAAAAGTCCCGCTGGGTTTCTTGCTGGTTCTTCCCAGGACAGAGGTATTTTTTGAACCAGTGGTAATTAAACAAAAAAGTGACTTTCGATAAGTATTATTTGTAATCTATATTGAATAAAAAAGTTTCTGTTTCTGTTTCTCTTTATTAGAATAACTCTCCAGCACCTTAAAAACGATAAGACCCCAGGTGAGGATGGAGTTACAGTGGAGCATGCAAGCGGGTGAAAAAGCTCTTCAATTCCATTCACCATTGTGGCACTACTCCGACAGCGTGGATCATAAGTGCAGTGATCATGTCTTGAAGGCGAAAGGAGAAAGGTTTTATACGTGGTAGAGCCATATTGCAGCTATATTATGGTTGTAGTAAGAATGTAGTAATCTGGTAGGACCACGCTCCTACAGAATACCGCTCAATTTTGCTGTGTTTCGTATGGTGAATGTAGAGAAACGGAGACCCTTTTTACTGGAAACGAGGAATTCCATCTTAGTCCTCGGGAGTGGCAACGCAACTGCATTTTTATTCTTAATCGAGGATAGATGTAGTTGTCTATGGGCCACAGCATCCACTTACCATCAGGTGGACTGTTTGGCTTAGCTTTCCATTGACGTCCGTCGAGTTGGAGGTTAATATTTTTTTACAGAAAGGATACATTATTACAAACACACAGGCAACATGCAGAAACGCATACTTTTTGAGAAAAAAAATATTGAAAATCAATTATTTTTGCAATATTTATGTCAATTCCTACTGTAAAACTGACGCTATTTTGTATTGTCATTGTCATCGTCAGTAGGGATGTCGATTCTTTCCGTAAAAGGTCTATTTTTAAATCGATTCGAATCGTAAGCTGATGTATCGATTCACAAAAAATCTTACTTACTTACTTACTTATCTTCACGCACAATCCCTGACGTGGTAGCCAGAGAGAACAGATGGCCAAGTGTCACGATCCTTACATACCTCTTTCGCTTCTTTCAGATTCATTATCTTCTTCATACATGCACGTCTAGGTATCCGAGTACTCTTGACCCTCCCCTCTTGGAGCAATTTGCTCACATGGTCTTCGAAAGTTAGTCTCGGTCTACCTCGACACCTTTTAATATTAACTTTCACGCTATATATTTTCTTCACCATTCGGTCTTCACTCATTCGCTCAACGTGCCCAAATCATCGAAGCACGCCCTTATCAATTTTTGTGATAAGGTCATCTTTCAAACCTGCCATATTGCGAATCTCTTCGTTTCACTTTCGGTCGGCCATGGTAACGCCGCACATTTTACGAAGAGATCGCATCTCCACTACATTCTACTTGATTTTATGCTTCTTCTGGCATACCCAGGTTTCGCTGCCATATAACAAAGTCGGTACCAACACTGCGTTATGTATTGCAAGGCGTGCACTCTTCACTACGTCTTGCCTTTTGACTAACGCAGTCAGGGCACCATTGACTTTGTTCCCGGCAGCGACCGTAACCTTTCTGGAAAAAAATATCAAGCCCTAACTCCACGGACGTCAATGGAAAGTCGTACCACCGTGTTTTTGGGCAATCATTACTAATCATCTCTTTCCTAAAAATTTTAGCAAATATCATTGTCCACATACATACCCTTCGACAAATTGTACAAAAGACCGAGAAATGTAATCCTGCCACTTTGTCTTACGTATATGTCAACTTTGAGAAACCCCGGATACTCTAAGTTCTTTAAATATTATAGCTTGATTAGAATGACAGCTATATTGAAAAGTGACAGCATAACTTTATAGTAGCGTCCAACGTAAGGAGTGATTGATTAATATTGGAAAACAAAAAATCATTAATTTCTGGCGAGGGAACAATATTTTTGATGACAGTTCTTCACTTAAAAACGTGCATAACACATAAATTCGACTTTAAAATTAAACCAGTCAGTATTAATTAATTAACACAAAAAATAAGCCTATTAATTTACTACC